CATCACACCTGGCAACTAGACATTTTATTGGTTTCCCTTTGCAAAACACCAGTTGAAGTCATAAGATAGAGGGTTCTGCCCTGTTGTTTAAAGTAACTGCTGCATTGGTTGAAGGGAAATAAACATCTATTTGAGCAACAAATAGAATATTCTGTTATGACAATTAAGGAGATTAGTTTTCTTCTTTCTCAGAAAGGCCACTAAGTAGAGGGTCTCTGCTGAGCAAGCATAGCATTTCTCTCAGTAAAGCATCTTTGTCCAGTCCACTGGACAAATTCAGGTTTGAGATAAGACTGTAGAAAATTCTATACCACAGAGGATAAGAGATGTGAAGTAGATATAAACTGATGCCTACAGGGAGGTGAGGGATGCAGGGCATCTAGGCTCTTACTTCTAATAGGTCTCATTTTGAATAGTATTCCCTCCTCCTGGGTCAGGACAGAAGAACTGGTTTAATTATTTGGCTCATTAATTAGGTAAATATACTCAAAGATAATACACTTCTAGACTGTCTACTTAGAGAACTCTCAACTATGTTCACTAGCCAATACCTCAAACTGTTTAAGAGGTTAAACTTAAAAGGTTTCAAATACAGTTTGGGGTATTGGCTATATATCCTCCTGGCTTCAGTCACAAATTTAAAGACCCTGCTGAAATTCACACCACATCTCTGCCTATCCAAAACAAGCTCCTCTCTAGGTTTCTAGTGTATTTCTATGGTTCTGCCAGTCTCCCAGGTAGTAACACCCTGGCCATTGTCTTCTCCTTTTCCTATCACAGGTGCTTTCCTCTGGTCAGTTACCAAAGCAGATAGGTTTACCTTCACCTGCTCCCCATTTGTTTCTGTATTCTCATAGTTGTGACTGTCACAACCTTCTAACAAGTTCTCTGCCCCTAGTGTCTTGCATTTCAGTTCCTGAGCACCCATCTTTAATAGGCTTAATCTTCTGATTAAGAAGATGAAGCCTTCTGATTAATCTTCTGATTAATCTCCTTACAGAATAATGAGAATATAAATTAGTACACGTTTAATGCTTCCATGTACCAGGCACATTGTGTATATTTTCAAGTTTTTCTATTTAAATATCTTCAAATGTCCTATGAAATAACAATTACCATCCCTACTGAACAGAGAAGTAAGTGGAGTCACTGAGGAGTAACTTATCCAAAGTTGCATAGTTGTAAGTGGCAGTTAAAATCATGCAATCTTCAAGGCTGCATGCAGTCTCAGTACTTAGCCATATCTTTTTTCTGTATATCCACCTTCCTCTTCCATCTGCTCAAACATGTCTTTTTATTATGTATAAGTAAAAGTTTTGGGGGCTAGGGTTGTTGCTCAGTGATAGAGCACTTGCCTAGCATGTGTGAGGCACTGGGTTCAATCCTCAGCAGCACATTAAAAAAATAGACAAATAAAATAAGGATATTTTATCCATGTATAACTAAATATATATATAAAAAAGGTTTTGACCTGTGTCTATCATCCTCCAGATAATGTTTCTACATACTTCCTTTAATGTTTCTGCCTCCTTTTCTCTATATGTTCCTGCCCCTCTGGCAAAATTGGTAGTCACCTGTTGTTATTTACCTCTTATGCATTGTCATATCTCCCATATTACACTGTTAAAACCTGGAATAGGAATCACGTGTTTGCCTAACACTTTTCTACATAAGGCAATGTACTATTATGGCTGTTTTGTGTGAAAATGTACTGGATATTCTCATGTGATCCTCCCTAAAATCTTCTAATCCAGACATTGTCCTCAAATGGTCAGTAACTTGTTAAAAAAATGTGCTATTTCGTTTTTCCTTTCCATAAACATTGTGCACCAGAGACAGTAGCAGTGAGAGAAAATAGAGGATGATGTGGGAAGATGAGCAAGACATGGTTACCTTCTCTCCAGATGCTCACATTATAGTAGGAAGAAAAAGATACAAACAATTAGGGAGCACCATGGCAAGTTCTATGAACAAGACCAGTGTAGAGCTCAAGGAAATACCAAATAGGAAAGTTTAGTCCAGGGGATCAAGAGGAGTTTCACAGAGGAGGGATTCTTGGCCAGAGCTTAGATGGATGAGTAGAAGCTGATCAGGTAGTAGTTGATGTTGACCCAATGGTTGAAATCATTCCAAGCAGAGGAATTTACATGTACAATGGCTCTGAGGCATGCCAGTGCCTGGAATACTTGAGGAAGAAGGAATAGTTCAGTGTAGTTGGAAAAAAAGAGTAGTGGGGAAAGATAAGAGTTCAGATTATTGAAAAAGTGGGTGGAAGTTGAGTCTCTAAGTTTGAAATTTATAGGAACTAAGAGGTGATTGATAGATTTTTTTCAGGGAAAAGCGATGCCAAGATTGTTTTATAAATGGAGGCAACAAGAGAAATGGATAGGAATCGTGTGAGACTGGAAATGGATCAGCAATAGCTAAGCTAAAGATGAAAGATGATGAGAGACTAAAGAGGGAGGATGTAGGAGAGAGAAAAGATTCAGGAGATATGAGCTAGAGCCTGTGTAACTGGACACAGTGAGTGAGAACTTCAGCAGCATAATGGACTCATGGCATTTATGTCCTTCGGAGACTAACCTTTCTCTTTTGTTTCCCTTTCTTGTTTTGTGATATATTTTAAAAGGTCCTCACTGTGATTCTGATACACTCTAACCAGTGCTATAGAAAGATATTACAGAGGCTGAACAGAGAAATGTCCAGTCTTATCTTGCATTTCTTATTCAACAGATAGGATATGAGGCCCAAGCATGTGATTTCTTTTTTTCTCTTTTTTTTAATATCTAAAACATGTTTATTGGTATGTTTTCCCACTCATCTTGATTCAGGCTGCTTTTTGTGCTGTTTCTTCCTGAAGGAACATCCTTCTGTAAGTCTTGCTTTTCTTCCTGTAGGCTGGCAGAGAACAGTGGAGCAATCAACACAAAAAACTATTCTTTGTGCATGGTTAAAAACTGTGGTGATTTTATAGCATCCTGGGCACTTCACATCCATGAAATAGGAATTGGGGCTCTGCACCAGGAACCACTTCTTGTGTTTCCTCTTCTCTTCTGGAGAGGGATGAAGGAGATTTTTTTGCGAGAGGCATGTTCTCGTGGGGAGGTCATCACTGCAGGAACGGCAAGCATATGATTTCCAATGAGTTCCCAGGTAATAGTTATGCTGCTGGTCCAGGGACTAGACTTTAAGAAGCACTGCTTTATAGCACTGACAATGGCCATTTCCTTCCTAAAAGTCTCCTTTCTTGGAATTCTATGCCATCATTTTCTGCAGACCCATCTCTTATACTGGGAATACCTGGGGGCAAGAATATAAACTGAGGCCTGTATACTCTATGTGTACCATTTGAAAATTTATGGTTAAAACTTACCATCTCCTTGGGTTTCACACTGAATTATGGCATATGAACAGTGGGCCTTAGGCCTCCCAACCTTTTTTTGTGCCTCTTTCACAAGCAACAAGACACCCAGCCTGCTATTCAAGCTTCCTGCACCCTTACCCCAGCCACTATCTTAGACAAAGGATTGGCCCTTGGAAGGACAACCAGAGGCTGAGGCCCAAGTAAGGCCCTTGACACAGGCTTAGATCAATTGGTTAGAAAATTCCAGGGGCCTATGACATAGAGCTTTGATTACAAGGGGTTGCCCATGATCCTGGTGGTATATTCCCTTGGTCGTGGGGCTCATCTCCCTGTGAGAAAGGGTACAGCTGGAAGAAGGATGGGAGAGAACAAGGGCATGTAAAGGACATGGTCAGGGTGCCCTTTGGCCTTGGGATAAGAGTAGTTCAATTTTTTTGTTTTTTCTCTTTTATAGTAATGAAGGTTGAACCTAGAGGCACTCTACCACTTAGCTACATCCCCAACCCTTTTTATTTTGAGACAGGTCCTCACTAAGTTGCTGAGGCTGGCCTTGATATTCCTGCATCAGCTCCCAAATTTCTAGGATTACAAGCGTGCACCATCACACCCAAAATAGGATCATTCACTTTCCTAATCCCTCTGGCTGCTCCTGCTTAGTTTCTGTCTTTGGCTGCTCCTATTTACCTCTGCTTCTTGCCCCTCAAATTCTTGTGCTCCCCAGGATTCTGACCTTCTACGCCTGAGGCTCTTAATCTGAGAGATGTCTATGGATGAACTTCAGTAAAATATGTGAACCCCTGAAAAAGTATGCAAAATCTTCAGATTCTGAGTGTACATTTTTCCAAGAAGAAAAATAGAATCACTTTCAGTATTTTCTCAAAGGAGTTTGTGATATCACATACCCCCCAAAAGATTAAGAACCCCTGTAATATAGACTCTGTTTAGATCTCATTTTAGGTATTTTTTTTATGATTCTCAAAACTATTGTTCATGGACCTCTGTTTTTATTCTAAGGAGACATCAACCTCTCCCAAGAACCCCAGACTGGAGATTAAGCTGACTATTTGGCCTTTCTTAATCAGTATCTTAGATATATCTCATTATGAAATTGAAAACAGAATCTATTGACTCCCCTAAACATGTTATATTTTTCCTGTGTCCCCTATTTCATTGCATTGCCTCAAAAAACACCCAGATGCACAAATCCAAAATCTATCAGTCATCCTCACCCTCTCTTTCTTTAATATCCCCACTTTCAATGGGTCCTAAATCTGCTCTCATTTTTTCTCAAAATTAATCCCATCTCTTTCCTCAAAATTGCCACTATTCTAAATCCCATAAGAATGGCTTGCTCCCTCACTCCAGGAAGATTTGAGGGCTTAAAGATTGGTACTGTTTCCTACTCCTTGTATAGCATGGGATGCAAAGGGGACCTAAAAGTCAAGGTGAAGAAACCAACTCTAGACTACCAATCAGAATTTGTCAAGGAATTTCTACATGATGGCTAAAACTAAATCAGCGATGAACTTTTATAATTAGATGCAGTGATACATTTAAACACCTTTCTTCAATTTGATTTTTTGTAGTCTCTTCAATACTGTGAAATTTTCAGCACTCACAGTTCTCAAAAGGTATTGCTCCCAGGTTGAGCTCATAAGTGGAGCATTAATACACGGAGGAAAAAAATCCATGTAGATGATGTCGGGATTGTTTGCTTTTCAGTCATCTTAAAGCTGGTTTTAATTGTTCTAAAATGAAGGTAGATGCATTGGACAAAATAACATCTTATATGAAATGCATTGGGGGAATACCATGCCTGAGTAGTGTCCTCAAGAGAAAAAAAAGACATGATCATTTTGGTCCATTAAAAACTTGTCTGCTCGGAAGTCTTTGAACTTATGTAGAAGATAAGTCTGCACTTAAAAACTGTATTCTTAATATTATGTACAAACACTATTTTTAAAATGTTTTTAGTTGTCGATGAACTTTATTTTATGCATGTGCTTTTTTTTTTGCATTACAATTCTTAATACACATATATACCACAATTTGGTGCTGAGAATCGAACCCAGTGCCTCACACATGCTAAGCAAGTGCTCTACCACTGAGACTAAACACAACCCCAGCCCTGAACACTATTTTTAGAATGTAAATACACCAAGAGGTCTGAATTTACTACAGAGTGTTCTGTGAAAAATATGGCTTCCTGCCAAGTTATTGTGAACTCTGACACCTGTTACAATTCTCAAAATCTGTGGACCTAGAACTATCTGGGAATAGTGGTTTGTAAGTCAAGGAATGTCATCTAGCCTTTCCCTCATTTTACAAATAGTGAAAGGAAACCTAAAAATAAAAGTTATTTATTTTATTTAGGTTGAGTTCGAATATCAACTGGACATAAGGCCAGCAAAGCTAAGTGAGATAATCAACCAGCTTGTTTTGACCTATATCTACTTACCCCACAGGAAATTTTTGAGCGCAGCAGTAAGCGTTTGGCAAATGTCGGGGCTTCTCTGTGGCAATTCTTAGCCTCCACCTCCTGGAAAGGAGAAAATGCAGTTGCGACGAACTGGATCATTCAGTCCTTAAAACGGTGAAGAAATGAGTTTGGACCGCGTATAAAAAAATACTGTAAAGGCATCCTGACGCTGGGGGGCGTCAGACTCTATTTTACAGGGTCCATCCAAGAACTTCACGGAAGTTGCGGTGCCCTCAACAAAGAGGGCGCCCGGTGACGTAAGCAAATCAGATTGCTCTGCGCAGGGGCCGTGTTTCGCTCGCTCCCCTGGTATTCGCCTAGGAGAGCTCTAGCGTAGCCAATCAGTACGGTTCTGCGGCCGCATGCGTCTGACGTCAGAAGCAGGGGCTGGCCCGAGTTTTAATTTTGGCGGGTTCCGCGGTAGACTGGGTCTTGTAGCCGGCGCTGGGTAAGAAACGCGGGTTCTGGGCGTGCGGGTGACCCCTGCGCGTCTGTGGGAGGACTTGGAGGAGTCTGAGCATGAGAGGCGCAGAACCCTGGGCGCTTGGGTGGGCGAGATCCGGGATCGGCCTGCAGTGGGGGCGAGCTGCTGAGCACCGGCCTGGGGAGGGTGCGCTAAGGGTGCGGCACCGCGGGGAAGACCCGCCTGGGCGCGGGGTCTCCTGCTTAAGAAATCAGTTTTGTTTTGTTTTTTAAAGAGTAACCTTTAAAAATACTTGCCAAATGAATGCCTTTTGTTCATTATTGATTCGTTCCTTTGTTTGTCTAATCAGTAATTTAATTTCCTAACCAGTATTGAAAGCTGCATTTGCCGACCTCCGGACACGTGATGTCTACCCTTAGGAGGAGGCTTGCGGTCTAAGGAGGAAAATAGATTAACAAACAAGTTCACGGTGATGGATGATGTGCCATAAGATAGATGAAAGGATATCTTCCTTTCATTTATGATGAGAAGGATATAGAAGGAAGCTTAGCAGATAGGTTGGTCTGGAAAAACTTAGAAAAATGGAGAGTTAAGCGAGGATGAGAAGCTCTGGCGGAGTTTTCCAAACAAAAGTGCCTGAGGCCTGAAAGCAGGCTTGTCTGGCTGGAGCATAGTTTGGGAAGTGGGTAGAGTTGGATGGGGTATAAACGGAAAAGATGAGGAAGTAGAAATACAAGGTGAGACAGTATCCATTGCCTCGCAGGCTTTGTAAATTTTGTTTTTAAGTGCAATGAAAAACCAATAAAGAATTTCAGTTAAGGAAATACTATGGTCTTGTATGTGTTCCTAAAAGTTTACTAGGGAAAGATTATGGTGACTGTTGTATGGAAAATAGATTGTAGGAAGCAAAGAAACCAATATAGGAAGCTAACATAATAGTCCAGACAAAAGATTAATAGTGGCTCATATTAGGGTTTTGTCAGTGAGGTTGGAGAAAACTGAAAGATTTGAGCACTAGTTTGGCAATAAAACCCATAACACTTGTTGAATGGCCCAGGATATGAGAGTGAGTATGATCTGAGAGAAGGCAGGGGCTGGTTATAGCAGTGAACCAAGTTTGCTCCTAACTCTTCACTGGATTCCCTGGTGTATAACATCCTACATTACACACGATGGGGTCCATGGAAATGTTTGTTCAATAAATAAAAAGAAAGCACCATAATCAATATCTTGACATTGCACTTGTGAAAGTGACATATACGTAAGTTAATTCTAAATAACCTTGCAATTTAATAAGTCACTTTAAATGAAAAAAAGGAGAGCACACAGAATGATATATTTTTATCTTAAAAAGCTCCTCTGTGCTTTGCTAACTAATATTGAATTAAAATTCTGACAAAGGCTGGAACTAAGTAATTACACACTAAGCTACTATGGATAAAGTCAACATCGTGTGCATTATAATAAATAATATGGGATACCAGCCCTAATATTTAGACCAGCCTCAATGATTCTTATTCATAGTCTGTCTCATTTCTACCACCTTGTATTTTACAAACTACTACATTTCACCAATGTGTGATTTCCGTAATCATAGTGTGAAGACAAGAAAAAGAAGATTGTTTTACATGTAAAGAGGAGATAGTGTTGGCTGTGGGCAGAGAAAAGATGAGAATTTGTCAGATTCTAGATGAATTCTAAGGTTATAGCCCATGGGATTTGTTGGATATGCACTGTTAGACCAAAAAGAATCAAAGGTGACTTCTTGTGTTGATTTCACACAGCCAAGATTCTACAGTACTCATCCTCTTGGCCATCTAATCCTCCTTCAGTTCCTGGCACAACTGTTTTTTGACAGCGTGGATGGTAAGACCTGGTTATTTTCTTAATTTCTCCTTGTTTCATGGAAAACCACGCTTTCCTGCATGGACTTGTTATTCTACTTACAAAATAGTGAAAATGCTTTCCTACCCTGAGCATAATATCACAGTGGTTCAAAAGAGATCTCATTTTAGTCTCTGAATGTTATTTGTTTTCACCAGGTGAGATTTTTCTTTTCCCTCTGGCAACTGTAATTGTCTTTCATAATACTGCTTGCTGACAGGTACTTAAAATATGGCAAGCATTTGCTAAGATCCTTACATATATTAACTTACTTAATCTTCATAGCCACTGTATTTTATAGACAAGAAGTCAGGGATGTTTAGTAACTTGTCACCAGTTAAACTGTCAGATCAGGGATTTGAACCAGGAAGTCAGACCTCAAGGCTTGCATTTGATGTGGAAATATGTTGAAATCGTTTTAGTCTTAGTCTAGATCTGACTTAAATTCTGACTGTCCTTTCTTCTTTTGAGGGGGATGATAGTGGCGGATTGAACCCAGAGGTGCTTAACCACTGAGCCACATCCCCAGGGAACCTCCCACCCCCAAGGACAGCATCTCTCAAAGTTAAGAATGAATAGAACCATCAAAGAGACCTTAACGAAATTAAGCTTAGAGACCTGCATAAAAGATTGGACTATGCTCCTACCTTATGCACTGTTTCGTGCAAGAAATAGTCCTTCCATTTCTTTGTGTAACCTCACCCCCTATGAAATGCTCTATGGTGCCCCTCCTCCAGTAAGGGACCTAACCCCAACTCTGAGACTTAATGATTCCTTTCACATCCCCTTGCTTGACAGACTTAAAGCTCTTGAAAAAACCCAGTGATACCTGTGGAAACAGTTGGCCACTGCTTACCAACCTAGAGACGAAGGAACTCCACACTGATATCAAGTAGGAGACTTCATCTACGTGAGGTGACATCAGGTGTCATCCCTGGAGCCCCGCTGGAAAGGACCATACCAGGTGCTGCTTATAACACCTACAGCGGTGAAAGTGGACAGGATCGATTCCTGGATCCATGCCTCCCATCTCAAGCCTGCGCCCTGTCCAGATTCTGGCTGGAGACTGGAAAAGACTGGTAACTCTTTCAAATTGCATATTTGCAATATGGATAGGGCTATGGACTCTTCCCTTGGCCACCAGCAGTCCTAATCCCCATCAGCCTGTTCAGCAACGGTGGCAGATCATAAATCCTACTGGACAAGAAGTATGGTCCATTTCGCATACAGCCCCCTTATGGACCTGGTGGCCATCTCTTCACCGGGATATTTGTCAGCTTGCTATAGGTCTCCCCAGTTGGGGTATCCCTGACGTAGGAGATCCCACCAAAATCCCGTCAGGCACAAGAGACTCAGGAACCTTTGGTTGCAGTTCCCCACAAGCCAGATGCAGGTTAGCCAGCCTTGATTACTACGTTTGTCCTGCAGGCTATGGGAGCCGCGAACAGTCCCAGTTATGCGGGGGGCAAAGTGACTTTTACTGCAAGTGATGGGGATGTGAACAAACAGGGGCAGCCTGGTGGGAACCAGACTCTCCTGACAGTTTTATCCGGGTGGGAAGAAATAGCACCCGGATAAACCCTGAGAGCTGTCCCTCTCCTGGACCAGACCCAGAAGATGGGGTTTTGGCTCTAAATAACCGATGTCACTCCAATACCCTATGTAACCCTCTAAATATAACTTTCACCCCTAAAGGAAAAGGTTATACCCAGTCATGGATCTCAGGGAACACCTATGGGATGCGATTTTATACTTCAGGGTATGATTTTGGTCTTTGGTTCACCATCCGGCTTAAAAGACAATTAAACCCCACAGCCATAGGACCCAATCTCCTTAAGCCAGGAATCAGGCCTCCCAAATCTCCCATGCCTCAATTTACCACCCCATCGAAAACCAAGGTCCCACCACCATCCAATACCCAAACTCCACTCCCGTCTACTTCCCCAATCCAGGGTGAAGCCAGTCCCTCCTACTGGGGGCTAATTGAAGGGGCCTTTGCGGTACTGAACTCCACACAACCAGACCTCACTCAATCTTGCTGGCTCTGTCTCTCCACTACTCCCCCTTACTATGAAGGGATAGCAATCAATGGGACTTATACAGTAAAAGCACAGAGTTCCTCCTGTAGTTGGGGTGAAAATCCTAAGTTAACCCTCCCAGAAGTAACCGGGGCAGGTTTATGTCTAGGGTCCCCACCTAAAAGCAAACAACACTTATGTACCCAGATAAAAGAAATCAGCACCACACAGGGCTTTCTTATCCCTGAAAATGGAACCTGGTGGGCATGTGACTCAGGGTTAACTCCTTGCATTTCAGCTCAGGTATTTAACAGCTCTGTAAATTATTGTGTAATGGTGCAGATGTTTCCCAGAGTGCTCTATCACGATGCAGGTTCGTTTGAACATCAAATAGGGGGGCATACAACCCGGTTCCGCCGGGAACCTGTATCCCTGACTTTAGCCATCCAAGAACCCTTAACCTCTCTCTCTGAAGTTGTTTTACAGAACAGGCGAGAGTCGGACCTCCTCTTCATGAGGGAGGGAGGCCTCTGTGCTGCATTGAGGGAAGAATGTTGTTTTTATGCTGACCATACTGGAGTTGTAAGGGAATCCATGAGTAAATTAAGAAAACGCCTTGAAGAGCGCCAGAGAAAGATAGAAACCCAACAAAGGTGGTTTGAGTCTTGGTTCACCCAGTCCCCCTGGTTAATTATGCTCTTAATCATCCTCATGCTATTGCTAACTGTAGGACTCTGTTTGCTTAACCGTTTCTCCAGGCTCAGATTGGTCAGGTAAAACTTATGGTAATCAGACAACAATATGCGACACTGACAGAAATGGAATGTGAAACCCCTCAATGATTATGAATTATTACATTTAAGATTAAAAGTAGTTAGAAAAAGGAGTGGGAAATGAAAGGTTAAAGAAATGAAATGTAAAGGATAAAATTTGTTTCAAGTTCTGTAAAGTTTTTAAGTTCTGTTAAGTTGCATGTGGAACCTGAAATTCATGTGGAAGTTAAAAAACAACTCCTGGAAAAGCCACTGAAATGTATGTTGAAATCTCCCCTGACCATCTGGTTGCTCTGTAAAAACAACCCCCCTCCCAGAAACCGTGCAGTCCAGCACGTACACACCTCAGGGCTTGAGCCAATCAGTTTGAATGTATACCCTTCTTTGTACTAACCAATCACCCCTACCCGACTTGTTCCTGCCAGTAAATGTACTAATCATAGTTAAGAATTGTTGTTTGATTTTCCCGTGGCGTATGATGATTTGTTATGCTGTATGTGAAGTCCTTGCCCTTTCCAGAGAATGAATATAAGCTCTGCTCAAGCTGTTCTCAGGGTTCTCTGCTCCTCCGAAGTGAGCTCTGAGCCCCAGCATGCTGGACCCCCAATAAACCCTTTGCTGTTGCATGAGACAGTCTCTTGGTGGTCTTTTCCTCCGACGTTCCCCCGACCTTTACAGTTTTTTTCTGTTGTTGTTTCAATGTTGGGGATTGAACCCAGGTCCTCAAATGTGCTAGGCAAGCACTGTCCTACTGAGCTACATCCCCAACTCTTAACAGTCCTTTCTAACTTTGATTTTTTTCATGGATGTGTGCACAATACTAGTCAGTAAAGAGATATTTTTCTTATTTGCAAAGCTTAGCCTGAAGCAGCATAAAAATGACTTGTGTTGATTGTAAAGGGACCTTGACAAATAAAATGCATTATTTTTCTGGTTGCATATTTGAGGTCATTGTCTGAAACTAGATTTTTTTTAAAAAATTTCAAGATTATTATACTTTTTAAGGAAAAAAAGATTATAAAACTAAATGTTAAAATTCATTACCCTGTGGTATACATGAAACTCATTGCACTATGGTATGATGATAGTTTCTTGTTTTTCTAAAATCATTAAACTATAGAGTAGTTTATGTATTAAAAACCATAACTTTTTCTATGAGGTGGACATGAAAATAAGAGGTGCTTGGATGTGTGCTAAGAAATCATAGTATCCAGTAGGAAAAACTAATGTGGTTGGCATGGCTTCACAATTTGGCCAACCTAGAGAGAATAAAAAGTTTACTGGTACTGGGGATACACTGTTGAACATTGTTCCTGCTTACATTTTCATCAAGGGAGTAAGATAAATATAAATCAAGGTCATCAGCCAAGAGTAAAGAGAGGTGGAGGTATAGGTGGTTTGAGGAAAGGCTGTGTGAAGTAGGGAAAGGGAAAGGAAATGTTTTGGGGAAGCATTTTTTTAGCATTGTTGAATGCCTATTTATTATTGGTGGCATAAATTTAAAAGTAGGCCAATTAACATGACAGCATGTCTTTTCCCAGTAATATTGACCAGGTAGCGTGCTAGTATAGAGGTGGTAGACGTTGGACTTACTCATGGTTAAGATTTTGTCAGGGAACTTGAGAACATGTGAGAGAAGCATGGGAATTAAGAGTCTTTGGGGGCTAGTGATGGAGCCCCTGGGAGCATTTGCCTAGCATGCACCTAGGTTCATTCTCCAGTTTTGGGAGCTGGCGACCGCACCCTGAAAATGGCGCTGGTTTCCTGCTTCTGCTTCTTTAGCAGTTAGATTTGTTAGAGGTAAACAACTCCTTGTAAGGCTGTGGGGCTGGGCTCTGGCCTGCTTCCGCTGCGCTGTACCTATTAGACTTTTCCACGTGGTGCTAGTTCATTGGCGGGGCTGGGTACTTAAGCCAGGGCAGACCGACCGCTCACGCTCTTTCCTGTTTTCTTATCGTGCTTCAAGGGTCCTGAATAAACTGCTGAAAGAAGAATCCTGTGTCGTGTTTCCCTTGCTGGCGAGGGGTCGTGACACTCCAGTACTACGAAAAAGAAATGAAAAGAAGGAAAAAGAGTCAAGCCCTCTTCCTGTGATGCACTATCTTTGGCAGCTAGAAATGAGAGGTAGTAGAGGCCTCTCTGCTTTGATTTAGAGATGTTGTAATTTCTCTGAAGCACGGGGAGTTGGGATCACCTCTCTTCTCATGCTACACGCTGCAGTCTTAAAGTCTTTGTTGACCCAGCAATTGAAACTAATTTTTAAATGACATCTGACTCTTAACCATTAGGCTTGTCAGAACATTCTAAGATGTAAGACTAGCCCTTTGCTCTTTCTATCTGCTGAGAGTATAGAGTGGTAGAAGGGGTTGGTTTGTTGATCTAGAGAACTCCTTACTAACCCAGGCTACCACACTGACCTGTCTCCTGTAAATCTGAACAAGTTCCTACCCATTCCAGCCCTTATCTTTCAAATGAGGGCAATCGGTCAGATATCCTTGACATTTTGCTCTAAATACCTCTGGTTTTATAAAGGAATAGTGCCCAAATGTGGGGAAGAGGGAATGAGCAAAGAAAATAAACTAATTAAGAAAGAAGAAATACAACTTGCCAGTAATCATAAAAGATTCTTAACCTCACCAGTAATCCAGGAAATGCCAATCAAAAGAGTGTGATAATTTTTAAGTCATCTTTGGCAAAAAAAAAAAATTCAAGATGGTGTCCTTCCACTTTGAGAATAGCTTAGCAGTAGCTGCTAAAATAGGAAGTGTACATTCCCAACAATCCAGCAATTCACTTCCAAGAAACACACATGTGCAAGAAGATATATATATATATCTTTTTAGAATCATTTTTAGAATTGGGAATAACCTAATGTTATTTATTACCAAATGGATTATTGATACAGCCTTACTATAGAATATGATACAAAAAGTAAAAGAAATAAACTAGAACTACTTTGATTTACTTTAATTTTACAAGGAATATAGAAAGACCAGTGGATACCGAGTAATAAATACAGTGTGAAATATTTATGTTTCTTTTAAGACAACAATATCATGTATTGACTCTTATTACCTATATATTTATGTAAAAGTATGGGAATGGTCTAGAATGATACCCCCAAATTATGAAAGTGATTGCTATAGGGAGTGATAAGAAATTGGGAAAAGATCTGGCATGATAGATTCCTGCTAAGTGTTACTTGAAAGGCCAGAAAAAATGTTAGTGATGGCTAATTTTGGATGATGGGACATGAATACTTTTAGTATACTTTTGTATTTAAAAAAAAACTCAAAATAGTTAAAAAGTAAGGAAGCATACACAGCTAAGGCCTGGATCTATGTTTACTGTTTTTTAATTATTCTTTTGTTGGCTAAATCTCATGGAAGTTGTCATTCAGAAAGTTGTCTCATCAGTTAAAGTAGCACAGGTAAGAAAGATGTAGCCCAGTGCCTGGGCCTCTGTAGTCACTAAGCAGATCCTGGTCCTTTCTTTCTTGGTCTTATGCCTTCTAAGAAGTATCTGAGGCCAGGAAATGTAGATACAAGGAGAACAACAATGAATCAGGCAAAATGGTGAATCTGTAAATTGATTTTAATAGTTTTGTTATGTTGAATGTTTAACTATGCTTGTCATGAGCAATTTCTCAGGTAGGCTTATTTTCCCACCTTTATTTCCTCCAGTGGAGGAAGATGATTTGTCTTTGCTGACAGCTCTGCTGGAGGAAAATGAGTCAGCCTTGGCTTGTAATTCAGAAGAAAGTAACTCCTTGCCCCAGGAAGATGGTAAACCTGACACGTTCGACGAACTCTTTGATGCTGATGGTGATGGTGAATCGTATACAGAAGAGGCTGTTGATGAAGTGGGAAAGATGGAAGACCAGAAAGAAAATTTGGCCACTCTCTTTGGGGACATGGAGGACTTAACAGATGAGGAAGAAGTTCCTACATTGCAAACAACTGAAAACAAAGTCCTCCTGACTCCTGCACCTAGTCAAGAGAAAACCAATCAGGAGTTACAAGGTGCTCTAACCATTTGCCAACAAGACTCCAAAACCACAAAACAGATAGTTTTCATCAAAATACTTGCTGATTCAAGGGTAGAGATAAATGACTTTGTAAAAAATAAAAATTTTTTCAGTAGGTAGTTAAGACAGTAGGTACTCAAGATTTGTTTCAACATCCATTGGCCTCCTTGGATATTGTCAGCCAGCCATAATTGATCCTCCACAGAATGGCTCTTTTTATACTTATTACATACTTTATGTGCATTGAAACCAGGGATAAGACTACAAAGGTACCACACATTCTATGTAAGCAGGGGGCTGTTCCCAAACAGAAACTTTGAGGCATAACTTTGTCTTATTCTTGGCATATTTTTAAGTCATAACACAGTTCTGGGGTTTACTGTCTCTTCTAATACACGCACTAGCATTTATTATGTTAGCTATGATATTTCAACTTACAAAATAAATATAATTATTTCTTTTTTTAAATATTTTTTTTTTATTTGTAGGTGGACACAATACCTTTATTTTATTTGTTTTTACTTTCATGTGGTGCTGGGGATCAAACCCAGTGCCTCACGCATGCTAGGCAAGCACTCTAACACTGAGCCACAACCCCAGCCCTGTATAATTATTTCTTTGCTTCTAAAAATTAACTCTACATATGCATCAATAATATCTGTGGTACAAATTCCTAACTAGCTTAGATATGAGAGTCTTAATTGCTTAGAAATGAAAAGTATTTCTCTGAGGGACCTCTTTGAAGTAAAAATTAAGCATGAGCTTTAAGTATGTGGTTATATTGAGAGTCTCAAGGTTTTGTGGTGGGGGACAATGTATTGCCAGCATTTTTCTCATGTATCCATTTTTTTCCTTCCTTGTTTTTAAATCTGTTTTTCTTTCCTAGATGAATTAAGGAAGTTGCAAGAGCAAATGAAGTCCTTACAGGAACAGCTAAAAGCAGCATCACTTAAACAGCCTTCAAGTCCAGCCCTTCCACATAAATCCCCTGGTAATAAGACTGTACTTCTGACAATAATATGCATTCTGTCTTTAAGAAATTGTAACATTATTCTTTGAATTCAACTCCTAACAAAACAGCCTTGGAACCTCTTCCTAAATAGGTTTTTCTAATTTATTTTTAATCAAGAAAGTAAGTCTCCACGGCCCCCTCTTAAGGAGAAGAAAGTTCAGAGAATTCAAGAATCAACATGCTTTTCTGCAGAGCTTGATGTCCCTGCCCTACCAAGAACCAAGCGAGTAGCTCGGAAACCAAAGACTTCTACAGGTGTGATACTCAAGGCCTCACTGGTTGCCACTGCTCTAGCTATGTTTAAAATGTATTTTGGCATTGTCCTGTGTGCATGTGTGTGTGTGTATCTGTCTGTCTGTCTATTTATCTATAGTCTTTTGGTCTGTCTTATGTCCCCACTGAGAAAAGTAAGTTTCTTGGGAATGGAAATCATATGATATATTTTGTGCCTTTCCTGTACGTCTCAAAGTATTTAGAAAACCCTTAGGTATGAAGTAAATGCTTACTGAATAGTTAACAGGTTGAATTATTTTAACCATGTAATCTTAAAGTTGTACTTTGGACTGAAGTAAGTATAACATGTGGATGAAGTTCTCATGCTGGGAATATGTAAATTTAATCTTCAGGCTTGGGAGAGTAAGGCATATATGCCCTTAAAATGGTAAAGCTTTATTTGAAACTGGGTTGTATTAAGCCAGTGTTTATTCTTTAGGGGAAAAAACTTCTTTGTGGGGCTGGGGTTTTGGCTCAGTGGTAGAGCACTCGCCTAGCATGTGTGAGACACTGGGTTCAATCCTCAGCACCACATATAAATAAATAAAATAAATGTCCATTGAACTAAAAAAATAAAACTTCTTTGCCAGGAGTATAGAATGGTAAGCAAATACATACACACACACACACACACACACACACACACACACACACACAAAATGAAAAGAATTTATAAACCCTATATTGGTCTTGGTTTATTGCTTCAGTTTGTCCAAAGTGATTATTCTTCAAAAAAACTTGAGACAAAATGGTCTGGAGATAAAGAAGCCTAAATGAAGCAGCATTTATTGGCCATGTTTGTTCAAAAGCCCTTTTGAATAGCTTTGACCTATGATGTGGTAGTGGAGAATAGTTGCAGTCTTGGAGTGGTCATATTAATTTGATAACAAGTTCTATATTGAGTTTATTCACTCATGAAAATTGTCCATTCTCTTGAGACCTTTGGCATTATTAGCATATTTCATTAGGCAGTTTTCAAAGATTTGTTTTGAGGAGTTAGGACATGGACATGGTTTCTAATTCTAAAATTCTAGAATTGTCCTGACTCCTAACTTGGGAGCAATGATCCAGAGTCCCTTTGACATAATCTTATATAACAAGGGAAATTTTATTATGGAATATACCCAAGCTTTCTGATCTTTGGGAGCATTACAAACACTTCCAAGATGTAAAAAGTAACCACATCAGGGATATTTAATGCAGATAATAATCAGAATACCCTCGTCCCCCTTTTCTCCCCTGTCTTACAAATGGAATGGAATGGAATGAAATTAAATAAGAAAATCAAAAGGGAATTTAACTTTAGATATGCCCAAGTTAGAATTTGATCTGTGCATAGATCTCTAATTATTTATTCCTAAAGGAAGGCTTTCACTTCTGATTAGAATCTACTGAAATCTTGTATATGGTGAACACTCCATAAGTATCATTACATAGGTATTTTAGAACTGCACATTGAAATACAGTAACCACTAGCCACGTGTATCTATTTAAATTAGAAACTTATTTCCTTAGAAGCACCAGTCACATTTTAAGTAATCAGTGGCTACTTGTAACTGGTGGCTACCATCATATTGTGTTGGACTGTTTTGCAGAGATTTTGAGGGTAGGTTAAAAATGGTCTTGTGGGCTTCATTTTGTTCTATCTTCATTTTGTTTGTTTTGCATTAGTTAATTAAAAAAGAAACTAAAAACAAATTTTGCATTTATCCACATGGCTTTCTTTTTACTGAATTCTTAAGGTAACTTTCTAGAGGCCAAGAGCTCATTTTCAAGGATGACAAGTGCCCCCTCCCAACCACTCCAAACTGTTCCTGGGAACAAACCTAGTAGGATAACTAGAGAGCAGAGCTTGGGGACACCAGAGAATTCTGGAGCACTACCAGCTCAGCAGGTCTCTGTGGAAGCCTTCTCTGGCCTGCTACTCAGGTCAATATGTATAACAATCCTCTTATTTCCCTCATTTGCACCACTAGATGGCTCTTCTGCTCAGAAGACAGAGACTTCTAGAAGTAGCATGTTGGTGCAGCAGATTGACAGAATACCAACAGCGCTTGAGCTGAACAAAACTTGGCACAAGACCAGCAGTAGCACTTGGTTTGACTCAGGACAGTTGCATATGAAATGTTTAAGGAAGACTTATTGTTTTCATGATGAATAAAGAATATTTATCTGTTAAGAAGAAAATGGAAATATATTTAATCAGAAATTGACAGGTGGAACAGGGATATTCACTATTTTGAGGTGTTTTTTTTTTCATCTTTATTTAGGTATAATTTAGTCTACATTTTATTTTTGTTGTACTAGTGGTTATAGATTTTTTAAAATATTAGGATATATAGGTGAATGAGGATAGTAGAGTTCTATATGAATATATAGTATGGTCAGAGACAGAATAGATGTTCATATTCTATTAGAGAAGAATAATTTGAAAATTCACCAGATTTTGACTAATGATTAGGAATAAGAATATATTCATCAAACTGGGTATGGTGATCCATGCTTATAATCCCAAGTACTTGGGAGGCTGAGACAGGAGGAAATAAGAATTCAAAGCCCACCTCATTAATTTTGTAAGACCTTAAGCAACTTAGCAAGATCTTGTCTCTAAATAAAATATATAAAAGGGCTTGGATGTGGTTCAGTGGTTAAGCACCCCTGGGTTTAATCCTCAATACCATAAAAAAGAGAATGTATTCATCAAAGCTAAATTCAAAAACCTTTATTGTTGTTAGAGTATTTGTTTTTTTAAAAAGTCTGATTGGAAATTGTAGAAACTGTGAGATTCTTGAAGAACTGATGAGCTTTAAATATCAATTCAGTTTTATAAAAATTTTAAAAAGAATATTATAACATGTTATAACTTATTAGCACTTAAAGGATTTGTGATTTTTTTTTTCTTATTCTGTGTAAATCCCAGATCTATATTTGGAGAAAGGCAAACCTCACTTTAAAAATTATCTGATTTTTGTTTATTTGCTGTAAAAATGTGTGCATTGTTTATATTATATAATTTAACCCCTTGAGAAACTGTAGAGGTGTGTGCCCATAACACTTTCTCTTATCACCTGGTTAAGATGCCAGATAATCTCTTTTTAGAATTATAATCTGTTTATTGCTGGTTTCTTAACTTAGGCGACCTAGAGTATCCTCCACAGAAATGAACAAGAAAATGACTGGCCGAAAATTAATCAGACTGTCTCAGATAAAGGAAAAGATGGCAAGTGAGAAACTGGAAGAAATGGACTGGGTGACATTTGGAGTTATAGTGAAGAAAGTCACTCCACAGAGTACTAACAATGTAAGCCATGCTATTGATTTCTGAGCTACTTCATTGAAAACTGATAATGGAACTTATATCTTTAACTTTTTACTTGTCAGTATTTCACTTTGAAAAATCTAGTTCACCGTCCTTTGTGTTGGTATAAAGGGGAATAGGTAAAGAATGCTTTATCTTTTAAAAAGCTAATTATATAGGTTTCTTGGGCTTTTCATTGTTCAAATCATTCTCATAGTATTTTATACATGTGAACATCCATGTGACACTGTAATTCTTCCTGTGGAGGAGAGAAGGGCAAGTGATCAGAGAAGCTGAATTCACAGATCTTTTGGAGATCCCTGTAAATGCAAATTACCAATCATAAAAGTGCTGAAATCTCTGGCCTATGCCAACACAATATGGTATCTTTAAGTTGGTGGCTCTTCCAAAAGATCTCCCAAGTTTCAAAATTGCAGTTGACTGAGGCATAGTGTGGAAGAAAACCTCTGTGACTTAGCAAGGCAAAAAACCTAAGTTCTAAGCTTTGTTCTCTCTTTAAATAGTAAGAACAAAGGTAAGTCCTCAGGTTGACCCTTAATCTTTTTTGAAAGACTTCCATTTCTTATCCATTAAATGAAGCCTGGCTTTGGTTATATTGAAAATCCCTTCCAGCTTTAAAATATTGTGCTTAATCAGGCCCAATCTGTTATTATTTTCCAATTTAGAATTTTCCAACCATGGATTGTTCATAAGATCTGATACCAAGATTGAGCTTTAGATTAGTGTGCTCTGTTACTATTGGGATAAATGTGAACAAATATGGTTTTCATTTAATTAAGTTCTTAATTGTTTCACACTGGCTAGAATGACATTGAAACAGTAGATATGAAAGTTTATCTCAGCTCTTCCAAGAAAGACATTGCATGAACCCATGGAAGAATAATTATAATGCTTAATAATACAGGCACTAACTCACTATAGCCTAAAACCAGACACGTCCTGGGACAGCCCTGATGAAATAGTTTGTTTCAGTGTTATTCAAACAGTTCTGTTTTTTAAAATGTGTCTTTGAAGGTTATTCATGTTATAAGTGATTGACATTTTGAGTTGTTTTCTCTAATACTTGTGAAATTTCAAAGCTCAGCCAATTTTCTTTAACCAGTTAAGTCCCAGGTTTTCAATTCTTGAATATTTCAATGAAATTGACACAGTGGCATTAAAATAGGTTGGAAATCATAATCTAGAGCTTATTATATAACTTATTATCATTAATAATGTTAATTATGTCAATAATATTAATGGATATTAGTACTAATTATTCACTTTCTTTTCTCAAAAGAATGGATCTCCAAAAACAAATATTTATGTGAAAGTTACCATAAGTGGTATATTTGTTGCTCAATTTAGTTTTTTTTAATGTAATTTTTTTAAATTTATATATGACAGAATGCATTAGAATTCTTATTACACATATACAGCACAATTTTTTATATCTCTGGTTATATTCATAGTATATTCACACCAATTCATGTCTTCATACATGTGCTTTGGATAGTAATGATCATTACATTTCACCATCATTTCAATTTAGGTTTTCTAGGTGTTTCATAAACGCGAAAATGGGCATAATAGATTAAACGATGCTTTTTGCTACCAAGCCAAGCAGAAATTTAGTAGCATACAGCAGAACCTCTTTATTACTGCTAATAATATTATTAATTTTTTATTATTGACTCCATTAATCTGGTGTTTGTTAACTAATAGATACCAAGTTGTTTACATAGTAAAGTTTATGTTAGTAAGTTATTAAATGGTAACACTGTAGCTTCTTGTCTTCTTAATGGTTGTGTTGGGGGCAGGGGTTAAAAAGGAAGTGTTGTGCCCACTGCATAGGATTAGCAGACATTTGATGATTGTATTTTTGGGATTCATTATATTTCTGTGTTTTCCTACAATGAAACACTTGAACTGCTGGGCATGGTGGCACACACCTGTAACTACAGCAGCTCTGGAGGCTGAGGCAGGAGGATTGTGAGTTTAAAGCCAACTTCAGTAATTTAGCAAGGCCCTAAGCAACTTAGTGAGACCCTGTCTCTAAATAAAATATATAAAAGGACTGAGGAAGTGGCTCAGTGGTTGAGCACCCCTGGATTCAATCCCTGGTATCAAAAGGAGTACTTTAGCACTTGAACCATAAATAGAGACAGGGTAATCAACAATTCAAAAATTCAAATTAAAAATAGAATAAAAATTCTTTTCAGGGGAAAACATTTAGCATTTGGAGACTAAATGATCTTCGTGACCTCATGCGATATGTGTCATTATTCTTGTTTGGGGAAGTTCATAAAGGACTCTGGAAAACGGAGCAAGGTACTGTCATCGGATTGCTAAATGCTAATCCCATGAAGCCCAAGGATGGTTCAGAGGAGGTAAGAATGTGTCTGTGATTATATTGATTGGTTGTCTTTATAAATTAGCTGAGTTTTATAAAAAAATGTTTGTATTGGTCTACCCCCAAAAAATGAGTCATGCTTTTATATTATTGTCTCCATTAATTTGGTGTTTGTTAATCATCCACAGTGTTCTGAATTTCTACCTTCTTCAAAGTGTTTTGTAATAACTACCTTTACTATATCTTTTCAAATTAGTTCCAAGGTTCCTAGAGTTTTTTGAACTCTTATGCTCAGGTTTCCTTAGATTCCTTATAAATTTTCATGGTAGCCTCAAGGAATTTTGCTTCATTAATTATTACAGTCATAACTGTAGTTTAGAATCAAAGCCTCTTCTCAAGCCATATTAGACTTTTTGGTACCATCTACTGCTTCTCTAATAAATTACAAATTACTTGTTGAATTAGCACCAAGTAATTTCTTTACCTTCATCCAGCAAGCTTTGCCTTCTTGTCAGATTAAATTCAAAAGTAATGAAAGGGGAAAAAAAGTTATTTCACTCCTTGTTTTCAACAAAAAAGAATAGCATCAGATCTTTATCTGTTTGGGAATGTGTTTGTCTACAGATAATAGGAAAATTTCACTACAGTTTGTTTTTTAACAATAAATGGTGGGGCTTGATTTTCTTACATGATAAAAAGCTAAACATGGGCAGTATAGTAATGTCATGGCAATGACTCTGTGAGTCTCTGACTTTCCCCCTTACTTACAAGATGACTGAAGTTCCAGTCATCACTGTGGAGCAGAATACTGTGTCAGATATTACTCCCAGAAAAGGACTCGAAACACCTTGCCAGTTTCTGCTAGGCAAGAGGCTTATGCACAAACCTGACTGCCAGAGTTTGAGTCCATTGATGCTGAATGCTCTCAAAAGCCAGGAAAAGTAACTTTATTACTTATAGATAGGTTCTAATAATCCATAGAAGCCTCAAGTATTATAAGAGGGTTGAGGATAAAATCTAGGCTCTTCAGGACAGTTGTTCCTTATATTAGGACCTGTGTTCATAATACATTCTGCCTGAGAATTGCAAGCAAGAAGGAGGAGAACTGGTTTTCCTCCTGCAATCATATCACCATTCAAAGCAGCAAATGAAGAGGAAGGATGAGCGGGCACTCTCTCCTACTAGGAAAGCAAGGGCTTTCCTACCAATTCCTGCTGAAATCTCATTGGCTAAGTCTTAAGACTTAAAGCTAGACCATTACTAGCTATAAGGAGTGCTGGGAAAGCAAAGTGGGATCCCTTTTCTGAGGCTGAGCTTTTGCAAGTCCAAATAAAGGAACAATTCTGATAGCCAAGAAGAAGGAAGAGATCATTACTGAGAAGAAAGCTGAATGTTTTCTCACTTCTAAATCTCTTTTATAGATCTCCCGTCTTAAATTCCTTTTGACCAATAAAGTCTTAAATCAGTACCAACCATTCTTTTATCCATCCTTGCTACTAAAAGACCCTGTCTTTGTCTGCTTTTAACTCTGCCTTTTTTTCCTTTAAGTGTGCTTGTCTATTGATCATCCTCAGAAGGTTTTAATTATGGGTGAAGCTCTTGACTTGGGAACATGTAAAGCCAAGAAGAAGAACGGAGAGCCTTGTACACAGACTGTTAATTTGGTTGGTTTCAAACCTAAGATGGCTTCTCCTAAAGAAAAGTGATTAGGATTAGAGTTTAGGTATTTAACTGTAATGATTAAATTGGAATAGAGTTTCCTATTTAACAGGAATACTCAAAATGAGAAAGTGAAATGTGTGGTTAATAATTGCCAGTTTAAAAAGCTAAGGATAGGGAGGGTTTCACTGCCAACAATGATGAAATACACCAGAAACCTATACTATAATATAACTTCCTTATGACTGTTTTAAGAAAACAAAAATAGCTTCATTGATATGTGATTTATATATCATACAATTCACCCTTTTAAATATACAATCAGTAATTTTTTAATGTATTCAGAATTGTGCAACCATCATTACCATGTAATTCAGAATACTTTCATTACGTCAAAAAAAAACCATACCCAATAGCAGTCATTCCCCAGTCCATCTTCTCATACCCCCTGGTTAGCACTAGTTTACTTTCTGTGTCTGCATTTGCCTATTCTAAATAATTCATAGAATGTGAAACAGAATGTGACCTTTTTGACTGATTTATTTTGCCTACCACATCTTTTAAGTTTCACGCATATTGTAATATTCTTTCATTTCTTTTTATGGTTAAATAATATTCCCTTGCATGAACAGACTGCATTTTGTTTATCCATTCTTCAGTTGCTTGACATTTGAGTTTCTACATTTGGCAGATATGAATAATGCTGCTCTAAACATTTAGGGGACTCTGCATGTAGATAGTGTTGTGAGGCTGAAAAGAGGCTCTTTCTGCCTGCAGCTCCCAGGGCTTCAACCCTAGTCCTCATCAGCTGCTCTTCTTTGCAGAATGACTGTGAGTACTGTCAGTATCATATCCAGGCTCAGTACAAGAAACTCAGTGCAAAGCGAGCTGATTTGCAATCCACCTTCTCCGGAGGACGTATACCAAAGAAATTTGCACGCAAAGGTGCCAGTCTAAAAGAGCGCCTGTGTCAAGATGGTTTTTACTATGGAGGAGTGTCTTCTGCATCATATGCAGCTTCCGTGTAAGACATTCTCAGGGCTTCTTTTGGGGCAAGAGTTTTGTTTGTTTCCTAAGAGTAAACCCAATGATTGGACTTTTCTGTAACTGACCTAGGATACTTGTCCAGGTTTTATCTTTCATAGTTTACTGCCTGCAATGTGGTAGACAGGATTTCTATTCTTAGAGAGCAAAGCATACAGAAGGGAGTGATTAAGCAGTCATGGTCTTTATCACAGAGCCCGTACTTTTTTTTTTTTTTTTAGCTTCTAACACAAATGGTGTGATTTTGTGGGGGCTGTTGGTATACCATTAAGAGTAAGCTCATCATAGTCTTAATAGTCCTTGAGTCAATTCTGTTGTGACTATTTGATCGAGGTTGCAGACCTCTTAGAACCCAATTTAAATTTAGTGAACACACCATGTGAAGTCTCACATGGGGTGGGATGCTGCAGGGCAGACACTCATGGCCCCTTTCTGGGGATCTCAGACTGTCTATAGAGTCCCTGAAGTAGATGATCAATGGCCCTGTCACTATATTGTAAGGAGCACATCAGAAGATATGACAGGTAGGACTTGGCACAAAGGAACTTTAGTTGGTTTATCATTAAACAAATTTTGTTCCCAGTACAACAGGAATTAGGCAAGAGGATTCACACTTCCTGTTTATTTAATAATATCAAACACATTTTTATGATTTAAAATAATTTCAGTATTTTTTCCACATTGCTAAAAAGCAATATGTGTGCATTATTTTAAAATAAGAATATGCGATTCAACCAAAAGAAGAAAGTAAAAGTCACCTATAATCCTACCACCTAGAAAATGATGAGCTGTTTGGTATTTATGCACCCAGGTGTTTGGGGTTTTTATTTTTTTTAAGTTTGAACTTTTGGTAATATTAAATGAGCCATATTATACTTATACATTTCTTTGTGAACCCTTTTTTTCCTCACAAAATAATGTTTTCCTAGTCAAATATTTAATGTCATTATTTTTAGTGGTTACCTGCTATTCTTATTCTTGGCTCTTTTAAACACTTAGAGGAACATTAATGGTGTTTCTAATTTATAACATCATAAACTAAGCTATCCTCAATTTTTACACAAAGCTTAATCATCTTAAGACAAATTCCTGGACTTCTAGAATGTTGACATATTTTGTATTTCTTTTGGCCTTCCAGAATAGCCTCAGGCAAATTTGTAGGTTGCCTCTTATTCTCCACATAAACCAGTTACACTGCCAGGTCATGGCATTAGTAAAGCCTACTTACATGGTGCTTTGAGAGACTTCAACTGTTAGTAGTAAATACATTGAATATTTATTTCTGTGACCTTTACTCATCAGAGCATTGGCGCTGGTGCTTTTTCTTTCATGGTGTGGCTCTTATCATTTCAGTGCTGCGGCTGTTGCTCCTAAGAAGGTTCAAACTACTTTAAGTAATCTGGTTGTGAAGGGCACAAACTTGATCATTCATGAAACTCCGCAAAAACTAGGTAACTTAGTTTCTTCATCATAAATTTCTTTCTCCAGTTGAAATATGTTTTATTTGGCTTATACTCGTAAGTGCTGAATATCCAGCCGTCACTCACACTTAATGCATAATATAGCCTAAGCTAAAAGCATGAAGCCCAGAAGCAAGACATAATGAAAACGTACATGTTGATCTTAGCTGTGCCTTGGCTTTGTGTGCTTTAAGATTTCCTAATGTATCTGGGTCAGGCTCTTAATATCCAGCATTAGAATCAGTGGTTTTGAATTCCTGGTCAGTCCTATCAGTTATCTTTTGTTAATTCTAAATCAGAGAATGCCAGCCTACTGTGTACTTTTGGTCTTAACATGGCTGGGGTCTAGCATAGAAATACTGTCTGAAACAACCCCACAGATATTAGTGCCTAGTATTCTAGTTATTACTAGAAATAACATACTTACAATACCCTTGCAGTCCTAGACAGATGTTAGGGGTCAAGGGCTCTATATTTTCTCTTGACATTCCATTTACTTCATTTTAAATGTTTAAATTATGATGAATACAGGTTTTTTAAAATGACACATCTTATGACATCAAACCATCTGAATTTTGGATCCTTTCTAAAGCCGATGTTTGCACATCCCAGGAATACCCCAGAAGGCCTTGTCTTGCTCTGAGGAGTTCAGGGAACTGATGGACCTGCCAATATTTGGAGCCAGAAACTTAAAAGAACACTTAGCGAAAGCCAAGGCTCTCAGTCAGCAGTGTGGGCCCTAGTTCTTGGCTCTCAGGGAACCCCTAAGATGGGCTTGTGTTTCAGGGTTCATGGGAAGCTCAAAACCTGACATCCAGTCTATCTCAGCATCAGCCCTCCTGAAACAGCAGAAGCAGAAAATGTTGGAGATGAGGAAGAAGAAATCAGAAGAAATTCAGAAAAGGTAAGAGGAGCAGATTTAATATTCACGGTTTCGGTAACTTATCTTGGGAATCCTTTGAATTTCTTAATCGATTTCAATTTCAAAATGTGACTTCAGATTTGGTTGGATACGTTTGTGTCATAACCTGAAGAGCACTGAAGGCTCTACATTTCTAACTTAGGCTAGTGACTCCTGAAACCAGATATAGATTAGTTAGTACCACTGTGGAAAAAGAGAAAGGAGTGAAGCATGGAGAGGATTTTTATAGAAAGGGAAGACATGTTCACTTATTTGGCTCTTGTTTTTTTTTTTATTTTGTAAGAATTAGGTTTTTAAATATAGGCAGAGCCAATGAGTAAATTGTTATACTTAGCTATTCAGATAAATGAGAAAAATGAGGCACTAAAAATAAGGAGTCATTTTTTGAAGTAAAATCAAGTGGAAATAGGGAGGGTGGACAAATCAGAAATTCCTGAACTCAGGTCGTCTAGATAGTGATAACAACCACTGTTTATAGGTGCTTAACATGCACCAAGCAGTCACTCCCTGAATATAGCATTTCATTCAGTCCTCACAATAACCTGACAAGGCTTTATGGTCCTGGTTTCACTGATGATGTAACTGAAGATAACAGCCGGGTTTTAGCCTCCACCCATTCTACTCCACTGTTTTAACCAATCTGCTATCCCAAGTCTGGGCTGCTAAAAAGGTGGGGGTTACATGGAAACTCAATTAAAAGTCAAGGAGAAATTCTTTGGAAAAATAAGAAAAGGGTAAGAAGAGTTTGGTCTCAGGCAGCTTAGTTTGAGATTCTGATAGGATATCTACAGAAGTTATTTCTCATGTGCCTCCAGGTAACATAAATATATATATGCACATGAAAATATATTGGGTTGTGAGCCTGGTGGGAAATAAATAATACCTGTCATCTAGAAGGCATTATAGTATGACATTTTTCTGGATTTTTCTGGCAAAACAAAACATAAACTTTGGGCAGGATTTGATAGGCGGTTTGCAAACTAGCCTAGACCTCATAGGAGTGCTCATTGATAGAGAGAGGAATACTGGTCTGAGATTAACTGCCACCAGTAGTGAGTGTGTCATTTGTAAGCAATGTGATATTGGACCTCAGTTTTTTCATCTAAAAATGAAGAGTTTGAACAAAATGATTTTTGAGATTCACTATTTTGATGTTGTTGTATTCTTAAATTGTGGGTTTTTTTTAAAAAATATAAAGCATTTTTAAAAAAGAATTTGAAGACTACCAAAGTTTTTTTTTTAATTTTTTCATTTGTTCTAATTAGTTATACATGACAGTAGAATACATTTTGACACAATGTACACAAATGGAGCATAACTTTTCATTCCTCTGGGTGTACATGGTGCAAAGTCACACCAGTAGTGTAATCATACATGTATATAAGGCAATGATGACTGTCATTCTACTGTCCTTCCTGTCCCTACACTTCCTCCCTTCCCCTCACTCCCCTCTGCAAAAGCCAAAGTTCCTTCATTGTTCCCAAACTCCCTTCCCTGCCATTCCCTCCTGCCCATGTATACACACTGTGGATCAGCATCTGCTTATCATAGAAAACATTCGGTCTTTGTTTTTTTAAGTTTGGCTTATTTCACTTAGTATGATTTTCTCATTTACCTGCACATGTCATAATTTCATTCTTCTTAAGCCTGAGTAATATTCCATTGTGTATGTACCACATTTTCTTTATCCATTTATCTTTTGAAGGGCATCTAGGTTGATTTCATAGTTTTGTTATTCTGAGTTGAGGTGCTATAAAACACTGATGTGGCTGTGTTACTGTAGTATGCTGATTTTAAGTCCTCTGGGTGTAAACTGAGGAGTTGGATAGCTGGGTCAAATGGTGGTTGCATTCCCAGTTTTCTGAGGAATCTTCATGCTGCTTTCCATAGTAGTGGCACCAATTTGCAGTTCCCCCAGCAATGTGTGAGTGTGCCTTTTTCCCCACATCCTCGCCAACACTTATTATTACTTGTATTCTTGATAATTGTTGTTTTGACTACAGTGAGATGAAATCTTAGAGTAGTTTTGATTTGCATTTCTCTAATTGCTAGAGATGATGAACATTTTGTCATATGTTTGTTGGTCAATTCTGTTTCTTCTGTGAAGTATCTGTTCACTTCCTTAGCCCATTTATTGACTGGGTTATGTGGGTTTTTTTTTTATGTTAAGTTTATTGAGTTATTTATATATCCTGGAGATTAGTGCTCTGTCTGAGTTGTGTATGGTAGAGATTTTATCCCATTCTGTAGGCTCTCTCTTTATATTATTGTTACCTTTGCTGAGAAGAAGCTTTTTAGTTTGGAGATTCACTCTTTTTAAATAACTCTTAAAACCATGTGTAATCACCATGAAGTTACAATGCCTCTCTATTAAGGACTTCCAAACACATCCTATGTTTTTTGTCTTCCCAGTTGAGTAAACTAAAATGCAGAGGGATTCAGTGAGGTCCTGCAAGTCCTAGAGCTAACAACAGGCTGGGATTCTGTCCACACCTTAGCTTCAGGACTGAGCCCTGCAGAAGACACCCATTGGAAAGACAGTTGGTGGTGAAAGAGTTCATCAGTACTAAAGTATACAACAGTCAGAGCTTATTCAATGAAAAGTCAATTAATCTAAGTATTAGAGTTGTTCTTGTGTGTAACTTGAATGATTAACCTAGGAAGAAATTATTTTAAAAACAAACTAGGTGGCCTGCCTAGAGTCTCTCAGTCCAGTTTGAGTTCTGGAGTTTCCATCTGTGTAAAACCGAGTGTATGTTTTATTTCTGCATGTTTCTTTAAAGATTTCTTCAAAGCTCCAGCAAAGACCAGAGACCAGCTGTTCCATGCTCATCTCAGCTTCCCACTTTTCAGTCTCTGAGAATAGGGGCTGAGTTCCCAGGGCTGGAAGGCACAGTGGCCACACAAGTGCCTAAGCTTGGCCGAGGCATCTCAGAAGGGGAAGATGTTCTCTTTTTTGATGAGTCACGACCACCAGGACCAAAACTGAGTGCAGTTGCAGAAGCTAAAAAGGTAACTGGCTTCTATTTTCTTTAGTGCTTTATTTTGCATTCCGTAAGACACAGCTTGGGTGTCAAACTATATACTCATGTTCACTCAATTCCTAGTGGTTATTTACCAATCGTGTTATGTAAAGTAAAAGGAACTTTAAATGATAATGGTATCCACATACCATTCATTTAATCTAAGAAAATTGAGCCCTGTCTCAACTATTCTTAATTAGGCTAAAGGAAATAGCCTCCAGGAAAATATTGCTTTACAGCTAGAGACATTGCTGTTAGGGAAAAAATTGGAATTTTTGAGGCAAGACTAAAAACTAGTGGTTTAAAGATTCCTTCTTTAGGGTGAGGGTGTAGCTCAGTGCTACAATGTGTATTTAGCTCACACAAGGCCCTGGGTTTGATCCCAGCAACCAAAAAAATAAAAAAGAATTCTTCTTTAAAAAGAACCTTTTACAGAAGTCCAGTCTGTCAATAGATGAAAGCTAAATTGCTTTGGCTGTAGTAGGGGTGGGGGGGGTACCCAGAACACCATCTCACAACTGCCCTAGTCCCTTGATTGAACTTCTTTCTGCTTTTCTCTAATCACCAGGAATAATCAAATTAAGGGCAAAAGCTCACTCTAAGCCCAAACCCCTTACCTATAATAATGTTAACAGTAACATCAACAATAACAGCAGTTGCACATATTGAGTAATAATATTACTCTGCGCATGCCATGCTCATCCTATGTGCAGGTATGTGCCTTGTCTCATTGAATCCAGACAAGTAGAACCTTATAATAAGACAGGTCAATGCTATCATCATCCCCTTTTATCAATGTAGAAACTGAGACTGAGAAATGAAGTAATATTACATGCTACTCAGGGCCTGAGCTGGAATTCTACCTGAATTCTGATTCTAAAACTTACAAAATGATCATGTGATCCCCTTTATAGATCTTGAAGCCTGTAGTCTGTGATATTAAGCTATTT